TGTCCTTGCGCAGCAGCGGCGACGAGGCCCGGCTGTCCTCGCGGCCGGGCGACAGCTTCTGCTCCTCCCAGAAGACCTGCAGGATCTTGTTCTCCTTGCGGAGGGTCTTGTTCTCCTCGCGCAGGGCGCGGTTCTCCTCCCGCAGGCACTTGTTCTCGTCCTGCAGCAGGTACTCCTTGGCCAGCCGCTTGTGGTGCAGCTTGTGGTGGAAGGACGACGAGGGGGAGAAGTAGGGCGACTGCAGGCGGCAGTTCTCGTTCACCCACCGCCCGTCCTGAAACACGAACATCTCGTCGCTGAGCTGCACGCGGGGAGGGTTGTAGTCCAGCTCCAGGTCCGCCTGGGAGGTGGGGCGCTCCATGGGGTCCAGGGGCACAGAGGAGAAGCGATTCAGCGGGTAGGAGTGCTGGCTGACCACCCTGCGGCTGGGCCTGGGCAGGGCGGCCTGCCTGGGGCAGCGCGGGCTGGAGTACAGGTTGTGGAGCCTCAGGAAGGGCTCGGCCGTGCCCCTCTGCGGGAGAGAACGGGAGGCCCAGAGTTAGTGAAGGGGCGGACACACCCTAGGCTGGCTGACACCCCGCAATAACCCCGGCTGATGGTCTGGCCTGGCTCGGCCACAGTAGGCACTTTTCCCTCTTGGGGTCCTCACAAGGTACTGCAGTTGATGCTCATTATTCCCCGCAGTGCTGTTCTATGAAATTTCTGAGGACACTGAACCATGAATTATGATACTGAACCATGACTACTAGGTTAGGTTCCTGAGAGCCTCTGGTCACATTTTCATCCACCATTCAGCACATCGCCTATTTGTGTCTGTTGAGAGACACCTTATTTAATACGTATTGTTGATTCGTTAGCATTGAACTCTGACGACAGCACTGTAACTCACGCCTGAACAAAGTTCACCTGACACCTGTTTTCTCTGTAAGGCACATCCCTGCCTTCGTGTGCTTGGGAAGACGAGACAGCACTTCAACATGATGCTCGGGGGTGATTTTCGACAGTGAAATCACCAACAAAAAGCAGGGAAATGTGAAAATCCTGGTACTAAATAAGCTGTGAAATAAACACTATTTCACAGTAGAAGAGCTGAAACAAGGCTCCTCACTGAGCACCTTTGCGCCAGGCACCTCAAACGTTTCCTCACTTTGTGCGTGTCCGTGGATGGCCGCGGAAGTGCCATGAGTACTGATTTGGGAGTTACCAAAAATAAATTTAGTGGGGAAAAAATTAGGCGAATTTACAAACATGGAATTCACCAATAATGAGAGTCACGGTTCTGTTGCTGATTCGCATGTGAAATGAAGAGCTCTCTCGCCCTCCCTGAGACCCAGATTTTTCACCAGTAACAACAAGGTTGTCAAACTCCATGATCTCAAATTAGGCACCTTCCAACATTGAAAGTCAGTGAAATGTGCCCCAAAAATGGAAATAACGCGTGCCCTGCTTGGTTCACAACACTTTGTGAGGATTGAATGAGAGAAGGAATGCAAAAGTGATTTTAAAACTGCCAGGTGGCATAGAAATGTAAGATGTTATCTGGAAAAGTAGGCTTCACTAATGGAAGAATTCTGAGTTGCATTCAAAAAGTGGTGAACAGGTGAAATGCATCCTGGAGAAGACACAGCAACCGCAGCAATACATTTAAATAAAAATACGATCGTGATATTTACTTTGAATACACTGAAAACATTTCATCCAAGTACATCGCAATGCTCTCCAAATACAAATTCCTTATTTCTTAGGTTACTTTCACTATTTTACAGATAGAGAAGATAGAAAATAAGTCAGGTTATATACTATATTTATATAGTGTATATTTGTATATCTCTACACATATACTATGTGTGTGTGTGTGTGTGTGTGTGTGTGTGTGTGTACATAGAGATAATTTGCACAGTGTATAAGGTTGGTTAGAATTCCTTAAGACCCAACGAGCTAGACAAATAGATGGCACAGTTCTATGCCATTAACTTTACAATAAGCACATGTCATTAACTTTGTAAGGATGTGATTAATCTTCCAGATAGTGAGGGTGTGAGGACATTCTGTAATCACATCCTTATTTGCTTTAAATAAATCCAGCCTCCATAGTTTTTATATTTCTCAACTGGAAAAGCACATTGGCTCTTGTGGCTGAACCTATGATCAGAATGAACCTCATGGAGGATAGTCCACACCATGTCCTTGTAAATTTAAGGTCCTTTGATCTAGATTTCTGGGAAGATTAGCCAAGGTCAACAAGGAGTACAACTGGAGAGGTCCTCTCCATCCTCAAACTAGAAACAATGCAAGGCTCCATCTCAGCAGCGTCTTACTCTACACCAGTGGTTCTCAACCTTGGCTGCACATTAGAATCACCTGGGATTCTTTTTAAAATCCTGATTTCCAGAGGATAAGGCCCAGAAATCAGGATTTTAAAAAGATTCCCAGGTGATTCTAATGCGCAGCCAAGGTTGAGAACCACTGCTCTATAAAAATGCAGTTTTAGTCAATGGTGTGTATCCAAATCCTGAAAAGGAAAGGGAAGAAGGAAACAAATATTGAGCTTCAATTTTGTGCCAGGCCCTGAGCTGAGCATTCTATCTATCGAATTACCTCACAACACTGAATTTAAAAGGAGTTATTATTATTCCCATTTTACAGATGGAGAAACTGAAACTCAGATAAGTTAAATAACCCATATCAGTTCACTTTCTAATCCACAAACCCAGTTCTGGTTCCCTGAACTTATATGTCTGAGGAATACACATGGGGGCTTGCCATGGATTTATCAAAGGATTTGCAGTACGTTGGGGGTCAAGACACTTTTTCCTTACCTTTTCATTATAGAAAATTTCAAACATATATAAAAAGATAAAGAGAATAATCTAATAATTATTAGATGTGTACATTGTTTCATGTACCCATCACCTAGCTTCAGTAATTATTAAATTGAGGCCACAATTGTTTCATATGTCCCATCAGCCAATTCCACAACCACTCCCTTGTCACTGGGTTGTTTTAAAGCAAAGTGTAGACATTGTCTCATTTTATCCATGAATACATCAATGTGTATCTTTTAAACAAAACCACAATACCATTATCATCCTTTTAAAATTTAGCAATAATTTCTTAATATAAGCAATTACTGAGTCAGCATTCAAATTTCCCTAATTGTCTTATTTCTTTTTTAGGATTGTTTGATTTCAATCAGAGAGATAGTCTTCTTGATCTAAGTGTATGTCCAAAGAGAAATGTATAATGCTTTATACCTGTTCAGAGAATCCCTGATGGCCTTTAAATCATCCTATTCAGCTGCCATTATTCTATATTCACTTTCTGAACTGGGCACTCAATGAATTTTCAACTGTCCCCTCAACAGAAATGCACTAAATAAAAACTTAATGTAAAGTGATGGTTCCCTAGCTATGGATAATCTGGTATCTGGGTCCTTATCTTTATGCATGCCATCAGGTGGCCTTAGTCACATCCTCTCACCTTTTGACCTTTGTTTCCACTTCTGTATAATGAGGGTCGGTGGCATTACCTCTAAATACCCTCTTAGTCTAACTTTCTCTGGTTCCACAGATCCATGTTTGTGAATAGGTACCACAATGCCCCCAGCAAAATTCTTTTACTAACCTAGTTGACATCTTGTCCCCTCCCTTAAATGGTCAACACTTCCTAGCAAGACCCTGTTGCCTTCTCTGTTCCATGCCCACTGTGCTAGGGTGAGGGACTGCGGCATGGAAGGGTTACAGAATGTTACAGAATGTGCTAAGGGGAGGAAATGAGACATGAGAAATTGAATGTGCTCGGAGGGAGGGGGATGTATGAGGAAGGATTGTGTTGTCAGGATATGGAGAAGGATTGTGTATGTGCTGGGAGGGGGGACTGACATATGGAGAGGGATTGCAGGGTTAGGAACCATGGAAGAAAAATTGCTAGATTGTCTTAGAAAAACAATGTGTTATGATACGCTCCAGCCAGGTGTGACTCTGTTTACCCCCCCTTTGTTCTTATGAACTTTCTGTGAACTTCTAAGGTAACACTGTTTTGCTATAAAGGATCATACTGCACCCTTGATCTCTGCCACATGCTCTGAAGCTCCCAGAGGGGGAGCTAGGTGCTGTGGTCAGCTGGCCAGCTTAATAAAGGCTCTTAAATTTAAATTCTGAGTTGGTGGTCTATCTTGTTGAGCCAACCCATAACACCCACCACTCCTGATTCAGAAAATGTTGATGGACTAATAGGTTCCTTTACTTCTTTACCAGGAGACCAAATTCTCCCCTTATAACTGAGTCCTAATATCTTTCCTTCTATCTCCAGATAGGACCAAGAAAGAGATCAAATCCACTACTGACTCATGGCCTAGTCTTTTAGAACACAAAAACATCTTCACTTTAGCCTCATCTACCCAATAATTTTAGCCTCATCTACCCAAGATGAGGCTAAAGTAAAGCAGCACCTTTTCTATTTCTGAAAGTGAGAAGATACTAAATATACAGGCATTTCAGATATGCCAAGAGTCCTGATTGAACTTTGGGAAAACATTATGCCAAGACAAATTCTTTCCTTCCCATGATATTTCCCTGATTGCAATCAGACCAGCTGAACTTAGTCCTCAAATGAAAGCTCTTTCCTGGCCTTGTGAAAACTTCTCACCCTAATCTAGTCCCACTCTGAATGTTATTGCGCCAATTATTCTTCCACATTTATGTTAATGAATCAACTAATATTGCTTTAGCATCTGGTCTCAGACCTTACCCTCAGGGAACTTCCAGTCAATTTAAAAAGTCAGTTATTAGCACCAACTATTTTTTGGTGAAAATGAGAGAGGTCAAAGTTCCACAAGCATTAATGCAGGCAGTAAGGATGGGAATCTGTGGCTGGACACCTGGAGAGTCCTGGCTTTGCACTGTATGAGTGCATGACCTTTTAAAATATTTTCATTTCCATGCTTATATTTCCATGTATAGGATATGTGGATGCTCACATGATTCAGAGCCACCCCGTGTTTGTGCAGGTTGTACAATGACAAACTCCAGAGGGTGCTATTTACAACTGTTGTTGCAGTGCACAACCTTACTATAAATGCTGTCCCACCGCAGTTTATTGTAGAATTCAAAATAAAATAATAAAATGTGATATTTTCTTTGTTTATAGTGAGCTACAGAAATGCAAGGATGTACTTCGGTTAGGAAGATAAGTTGTTTAGCATTTCCTTAGAGAAAGATTTATAGAATAAGAAAAAGAAAATAACACTTACTGAATGACTATTATATGACAACTAGAGGCCCAGTGCATGAAAATTCATGCACTGGAGGGGGGGTCCCTCAGCCCAGCCTGCCCCCTCTCACAGTCTGGGAGCCCTCAGGGGCGGGAGGCAACCTGATGATCAGGAAAAGGTGATGCCCCATCACACCTCTGCTGCTGCCACTGCCAGCAGTGCAAGCCTCGGCCGGCCCTGGTTACCTGAGCCTTGGGTGGCCCTGGGCAGCTGGGCAGCCACCATCTGAGGCTTGCCTG